GGCCCCGAGTTCAATCCCCAATAACATAAAAAGGTTTGAAATATTCATTACCTGCAGACATATTTTCCTTCAGATAGTCCCTCATATGACTCAACCCAGATCTACTTATTCCCTTCTTTTAAAATTCATATAATTAGATGAAGTTTGAGGCAAGTATGGAAACAGAGTGACCTTCTTAGAGAAGCAAACAAGGATACAGATGAGAGAGATGATAAGAGATATGAGGGTACTGATGAGAGAGAGGTGGGAAACTGCCAGCATGAGGTAGTGTTATGAAATCCAGGAGTGAAGAGAGCCTTCATGTTTATTTGTTGGAAGAGGATGGAAAGAAAAATTTTAGTAGAATGGACAGAGAAGGATAAGGAGATCTGGTTTGGTAGTACGAAGAGGCTCAGAGATAACAATCAGTGGTCTCTGAGCAGATGACTTGAGGTTTTCAGCACTTTCCTCTGTCACATGTCTTATGAATATGTGTGTTCACCACATCCTACTGACTGAGAGAATCTCCACTCAAAAAACCAGAACATATCTTTACTGATTCTCTGTCATAGAGGTCATTCTGACTTTAGAGCATGCTTCCTTGTATTTGTTTCCTTAACCTCTAGTCACTATCACATAATACCTAGGAAGATTAGCCTGCACTAGGACTTAATCATGATTATTTAAATTTTGGAAAATTAATAACCCATGATATATATGAATTTGAGAGAAACAATATAATAAAATAAGACATTATTTATTCACATTTGAAAAAAAGATTTAAGCAATACATTCGACAGAATTTAGGAGAGAGAAACTAGAGTCCTTATCCAGCCCCTGCTATGAAGGTCCTGTATGACTTCAGATAACGGAGGACAAAAAATTCCTGGAGCTAAGTGACTGGACTGGGACAGCCAATATCTGATGGTGGAAAGATCTTTGGGTGTTATGGGTTAAATAATTCCCAAGGAAGTGAGAGTTCAGGATCCTCTCTATTCTTTTGATGAAGTACCCCTCCCACTCTGCTCTTGGCACTCAAACATGGAACTCTCATCTGACCTAGGTCATTCTCAGCCTCAGAATTTTATCAAATCTCCCTTGCCATGTTCTGCTTAACTTCGTAGAGAGGTAAGGTGTCCATATAATTTCTCTTACATATCCACCACAGTTTTGAGCATGTCACACTATTAAAACTCATGCATGATCTCTCCAGGCAAACATAAACATAAGTGTGGCCTTGCAACTGCTTACTGGTATGAAACGCTCCCAAATTTGATTAATCTCCCTTCCATCACCCTCTTCTCTCTCCATACTTTCTCACTCTTAACTTCCACTTTCAATTCTGGTTTTTCTCTCTTCTACCAATAGAGTATCTCCCAACATATTATATCTCCATGTTTCCACAAATGTCCCCTTCTCTCTGGTTCTGCTCAATGTTCCCTTCTCTCTTTGTCTGACCTCTACTAGCCCTTCAAATTCACTCTTTCCTCACAGCCCAGCTCACATGACTCCTTTTCTACAAAATCTTCATAAAGAGCTGAAGCAAAAATAATAGCTACTTCTCCCTGTTCTTATTGCTTCTCTGAATCAATGCTGCTGATGCTGTGATGAAGTTACTAAAGGAAAAGAGACTAGAGTTAGCCTGTAGGATTATTTTTGTGGCAGTACAGGGTTTTAACTCAGGGCCTCACACTTACCAGGCTCTATTACCTGAGCTACTCCGCCAGCCCTGGCCTATAAGTTTCTTAATTTTAGCCTTTTGAATTACTACCTGGGAAAAGTAGTACTTTCTCTTTACCTTGTTTTCCTTATGTATAAAATGAGAAAAAACTATTGTTAATACTTTTTGAGATTTTGGTCAGGATTAAATGAGAGCATGCGTAACTTACTTAAGAATACTTCCTAGCACAGGCTAAGCCCTAAAATGAAGTATGTTCTGTTAACTGTTGCATTTTATTATGAACAATTCTATTACATCTGATTGTAAGAACATAGATCTATCATTATATACTATGGTGGACTCCTTCAGGGAATTGGCCTTCTTTATCTTTATGGATTTAGCAAGATAACAGCACCTGCTATAAACAGGAATTTAGTAAATACCCACAGAATTACTTCTGCAGTGTGTCTGATAGGAAAACAGATTTGAGATAATTCTGTATAACATCCACTATAATATCTGACAAGTCATAAAGACTCTGTAAATGATCAACTTCATGACAGAATCAAAACCAGAAATCTGAATCACAAATTAGTGAAGCAGTTCTTTGAAACAATGGTAAACTTGGTGGCTCCAAAGAGTCATAGGATTTTGTAAAGAGACTGTTATGCAGGTGTTATGCCTAGGGCTCCTTGAGAAGGAGAATGAAGAAAACCGAGCAGCTGAATTTGCTGAATATAACAGTGAATCAGACAGCTGACTATTTGAAATTTCAATAGCACAGTGCTTAGAATTTTGATCAGAGGTACTAAAAGTTGAAATAAAATTATGTGTGCCTTACCCACTTAATATAATTGATCCAGCAAAAGGCAAATAATTGTTATTTTCTATGGCATTATAAATCCAATGCAGTGGTCCCAGAGGTCCCATGTAGCCATTTGTGAACAAAAATAGATGTGTTTGTTGCTTATAAAAGATATGAGGCAGTTGTACGAGGCAAGTATAATACTGAATATTTCCTTGACTCTTTTTGTAAACTGGTAGATAATGAAATGAACTTTGTGGTTTATATAGTCTAGCAAGCCCATGCGAATCTCAGAGAGATAAGGTTGAGATTCAGGTGTAGAAAAATGGCCCCACAAGGTACCATACAGATTACATGGTCCAGAGTGTTTTGAACTTGTTTCCATGGATTCTTGCACAGAAATATAATACATAAGATAAAAAGGGATTCTTACTAACTATAGTTAACATGAAAATCTTGGAAAAAAATTCACTAGATTCATGAATGCTTGCAAAGTGACTGGATTAATCCCATAATCTGACCTGACAATCACATGGTTAGCTGGTAGTGAGACATAAATGGATATAAGTACCTTATACTATTACATTTCATTTTATTTAGGGTGGGGCTAACCCTATTTACATAGGAACCTTGAGGCAAGAAATTAAGAATGGGCAAAGCATGGGATTGAGGGAAGAGCACCCTTAATGGAAAGTTTTTCCCTTTTCAGTTTGGGAGGAAGAAGAAAACATTTTATCTTGACTCTACAATTTAGTCTTATAATATTATTTTAAAAGATGATTTTATTAACTCTCTCAACCAGTTACTGAAGGAAAGGTAAAGAAGGATATTTTAGTGTATTTATTTGTTTGGTCAGAAAATACAACACCCTGATATGTATATGACTTTCAAACTTCAAAAAGAAAAAAAAAAAATCACATAGCAAAGTGATGAATAGGCAAATCCAAAATCATATTGAGGTATTTTACTACTGTTCTCTCAGTGGGTAATAGAAAAAACAGAATAAATAAACTTCACAAATATAGTAATATAAGTGAAGTAGGATGAAGAAAAATGGAATTTGCTAATTGGGATACTCTCAAAGTTCATCAGCCGTTTCATTAAAAACTTCCAAGGACTTCTTCTGTTAATGAATTCAAGTTGTTTCATCTTATTTTATTATATCATATTGATTTAAGCTTATATGATCTCTCAGACAGTTACTGAAATTTTTTTCTTCTGTTTTTTTGCCTTGCTCCATGAGCTTATCTCACATGTGATATGGAGGGTGTAAAGCAAGAAAAGAAGGGGAAATTGTATGATGGGAAGGACCTTCCTTCCAGGTACTTCAAAGAAGGCAAAATAACAAACAAGATTAACTAATCTGGAGATGGATGGAGAGGGAGAACCTAGATAATCCAACATTATAAAATACACAAGTCAGCATACAATAGAGATACTTGCATGATCATAGCCACAGACATGCAGATTCTAGAGTTTGTGATGACTGTGTAGTACAGAAGGTAACAGATGGAAGCAAAACAGTCATAAGACATCATGGTGTATCAGAAGCACTCAATGATCCCAAGGAAGTGGAAGAAAAATTGGGAGACACAATCTTGTTAGGAGATAAGTCTGCTCAGTCCCATAATGTAGAGCAGTATTTTGGGACAGGTCACAGAGGAAAACACTTGTCAAACACCGACAAGTTCCACAGGGAAAAAACACATTTCTGCTTACCTTTCCTCTATTCTTTGTTAAGATAGATTTGCATCAACTATGTCAGGGAATACAGCTGAAAGAGAAACAATCTTTTCATTGTTATTAGCGTTTTGGATTCTGCTTTTCATATTTAGTGTCTGTACATTTAGATACATATGTTTACAAACAATTTATAAATATAATTTCCCAATATCATTTTAAATTTTATAGAATATCTTAGAAACCTTTTTATATAATTATTATTGAGATCTGTCTTTTAAAGTTTTATAGTATTACTAGTATGGAAGGTTAACAATTTACTTAGCAATTTATGTGTAATTGAACCATTAGGTTATGTCTAGATTTTTTACAATAATGAACAATGTTGCAATGAAAATATTTTCCCCACTTTTTTCAGTAGGCATGTGGGGTTTTTCCTAAGGTTGATTTCAGCAAGGTAGAAAGAAGGCTACATACAGTTTAAAGTTTCTTACATGCATCCACATTTTTTCATAAAACTTCTTTAACAATAACATCAACATTTTTTTAACCATATGGTAAAGGCAGCCCTTTTTCCTACATTTACAGTCCATTTGAGTGCACTTTTCTGTGAATTACTTGTTTATATATTTTGTTCATTATTGTATTAAGCTGTTAGCCTCTTTCTTATTCATTTTAGAAAAATGAGTAATCATTAGTAAAATATGTATATTTGACTAATTTTAAAAAGGCAATGTGTTATGATAGAGTGGTCCACAGAACTCAGCATTTGCTAAAAATTCTAAGTCATTGCAATAGGTAAGGATTCTGGAATTAAATTTTACATCTCAAGGGTAAAAAGAATCCCAGGGTTATGTATTTACCCATCTGTGAATTTTAACTCTTACTAACTCTCATGAATTGTCCTGTTCTTTGCAATATTTTTTTCAGTGCTGTCTTTACTTCCTTATTCCTCAAGGTATAGATCAAAGGGTTCAACATTGGTCCTACTAGATTCATCAGAATTTGTACCACGGTTCCCAGCATAGGGTTGGGTGTGGGCTGCAGGTAGACAGTGATGATTGGCCCGTAGGCACAGAGGATGGCAATGAGGTGGGCACTGCAGGTAGAGAAGGCACGACGACGGCCCTCAGTTGTACTGATACTCAAGATGGAGACTGTGATTCTAGTATAGGATAAGAGAATCAGGAAAAAGCAGACAAGAGATACCAGCCCAACATTTGTGAAGCTTACTCTCTGCGCTAAGGATATATCAGCACAGGCTAAGGGCAAGAGTGCTGGAATATCACAGAAGAAGTGATCCACTTCATTGGGACCACAGAATGGCAAGGTGAAGGTAAGGAAGGTTAAGACACTGGAATGTATGCACCCTAAGAGCCATGTGCCAGCAGCCAGGGCCACACAGATTCTAGGTCTCATGATGACTGTGTATCGCAGAGGGTAACAGATGGCAGCAAATCGGTCATAGGCCATCACAGTGTACAAGAAACACTCCATGCTTCCAAGGAAATGGAAGAAGAAGAGCTGGAAGACACAGTGTTGATAGGAGATGAGTTGGCTCTGTCCCATAAGGTAGAGCAGCATTTTGGGACAGGTCACAGAGGAGAAACACATGTCAAACACAGACAAGTTCCCCAGGAAGAAATACATGGGTGTATGAAGGCGAGTGGAAGAAATAACAGCCACCAGGATCGACACATTTCCCAGCAGGGTACATATATAGAAGGGCAGGAATAAGACAAAAAGCAGACTCTCCAATCCCTCTGTGTGTGGGATTCCCAAGAGGATGAACTCAGTCACCACTGAACAGTTCCTCATATCCGTGAAAGCCAGTCCTGGGGGATGAAATAAGTGGAAACAGAAGACATGGAGGAATCCCTCGCTTACTGCCAATGGAGCAGACATACTGGGAAATAAAATTTAAATGACTGTGTTCTGTTTCTAATTTATGAAAAGGGTGCTTGTGATATGTTATAGGGCATTATAACTGCAATGGAACATTCAAGTTAACTGAAAATTCTACAGAAAACAGTTTTGTTGTGCTGATTCCAAATGCAGATGTCCCTTATTAAAGCAATATTAGAAGAATATGTTAGAGAAATGATTTTCAAAGGAAAGGATAGGATCCACACAAATATATGCTGTTCCTCCCCAATGGTGGAGAGCTAGTGAGACTCAGAATCATTCTAGGGTTTTTTCTATACTACTGGAAATAGGAGCTACAACTTGAGAATCACTGAATTTGTTTTCCACAGTTGTTGACTGTTGTTACATTTTATCCTTTTTTTTTTTTAGTGAGTCATAAATGTTGAACAACACTTCGTTACAGTTCAAAATGCTTATAAATCTCAATTCATTTAATTCTAACAGCAACCCTAGGCTGTAAATCTACAGAAAAGAAAGCAGGTGGGCTGTTGAAGTGCTATGCAACTCTTCTAAATTCAGGCAGCTAATGAATAGCAGAACCAAGGATGTAAATCCTTCATTTTTCTTTCTCTTAAGACATCAGTCTGTTCACTGACTGTGCTGTACCTGTGACGGAGTGCCAGCACTGCCGGCCTTCTCAAACTTTGCACAAAAGTTATCCATGTTCCCTCTCCTCCTCAGTAAGCAATGAGAAATCAGCCTGTCTTTCCAGCTATCTTCCATCCCTGTTTCCCCACACAAACAATTGTAAAGGCCAGGGGAGTAAATAGTTTTTGATATTCACAACTTTATCCTCTATGAAAAGAGCAGTTTGAAATAACTCACTCAATGACTGGCAAGAATTGCATATCCTTCATTTGTGTTTATAAGGACTTAATGGGAAACAAGCAAATAATAATCACTCAAGACAACCTTGTAAAGAAGCTTGATCATCTACCTACAACTTGCTCTTTTTGATGAATTTTGATAAATACATAGGTCTATTTATACCTCCATGGCATTTTGTCCTGGAGGAAGCTCTAACACTGTGCTATAAAAGATGGGTAGATCCAAAGCAATAGTTACACATAGTCTGTATTGCTCTAAGAAATTTTTGTGTATCACACATTGCAGAAAGATTAGAAATGAAGGGTTTTGAGTATAGCGTCATTTAGAATTTTCTTTCTTTTAAGCATTTTGAATCAAATTCAAATTCCTGTTTATCAAGGGAAATGATGATGGGTTTTGTGAGCAGCTAAGTCAGCATGAGGGGTTAAAAAACAAACAAAGCAAATAGTGGCCTATTCTTGTGCCCAAGAGCACAATGAAGTAGCATGACCAAGAACTTCAAATAGCTCTTCACTAAATATATAAGACATAAAACAGGAGGACAAAAAATAGAAGAAGAAGAAAGGAAACCAGATATGGTGTGGATTAAGCCTGTAATTTGAGCTAGTAGATTATGATTCAAGGCCAGTTTGGACAAAATATTCATAAAACCCCATTTAACCGATGACTGAGATTGCTGGTGTGTGCCAGGCATCGCAGCCACACATGGAAACAGAAATAGGATGATCACAAAATGAGACCCTATCTCAAAAATAACAAACAATAAAGAGGGCTGGCAGAGGGGCTCAACTGATAACATGCCTGCTTATTAGCAAGCACAAGGTCCTGAGTTAAACCCCCAGCACTGCCCAAAATGAAGAGAGAGAGAGAGAATATGAGACATGAAGATGGCACTTACATGACATACAGGGAGGAAGTTTGAACTTCTACCATCTGTCCATCTGTTTTACTAGGATCTTGAATCCAAATTTGCCTTTGATATCAGAATATAAACCAGGGACAAGAATCTCTTCTCATGACCTAGAAAGCACTTTCTTCTTAACCAAATAAACTCAGATAAATGTCCTAAGGTTGAATGTGCATCTGCCTTCTGCAAAGATGCCTTCCAAGTCTCTAACATCTACATTGTGTTCATATGAAGACGTCTAAATGCTGTTAGAGCCCTTGGGATGCCATTCCCGGAAAACGTCCTATTCAAGCAGATGACTGAGCAAAGGGAATAATTAGAAGTTAGTAAATGGTCTAGTCAAAGTAGAATATGGTATTACCCTTGTAACATTGCTAAGTTGTAAACAAGATGAAATCATACCTAGACTTCATACTTTTACAGTTAACCTGGGAAAAAGAGAGAAAAGTTGAGGGGCACAGCCTTATCTTAGGACATATGTGGAAATCATTCCTCAATTTGAGAATATATTATTAGAATGAAAAATAACAAAACATTTGTCTCATTATTTTAAATATACAACTTGAAGTGCTTAAAGTTCAGCTTCACCACAGTTCTTGCTGTGAAATGACTTGTGTTGAAAATTTAGTTCACAACCCTCCACCTCAACACCACTAGACTATACTAAAGGCCTTCAATAAAGTTACTAAAATTAAGTGAGATTAAAAAAGTGAGGTCCCAATCTGATAATGATGGGGTTATTACACAAGAGGAACAAACACCACATATCTTTCTCTAGCTGTTTTTCCCTCCCTCTTTCCCTCCTTCCCTTCATGTAAGGACACAGTAAGAAAATGGCTACCAGCAAGCTCTCTAACTCAAACCCTACTGTGAAAGTTCCCTTGGACTATACAGTCTTTAGAACTATTAGAAAGTAAATTGCTGTCATTTAGTCAAGTAGTCTGTGGGAGGTTTTTATGACAGCCTTAGTGGACTTAGAGTTTTCTAATTCTTAGCCTATGTTTCCTACTGTTTGATTTTGGAAATATAGTTTATTAACAGACTCCTAAACAAACCGTTTTGTCAATTGGCAAAGTTGCCTTCCTTGAACTAGGAATTGTTTCTCACATGATATTTCCAGAATCAAATACAGATATATTGAAGCATCATTCAACAAATATTAAGGTCCTATACACCCATAAATGGGAAAAGTTTCCTGAACCTGAATCTAAACTTTCTTCAACCATTCTCAAGATTCCAGATGTTTGTAACCTGGAAATTGTTCACCTTTCATATAATACCAGATTTGTCATCGAGGAACTGAAAATATACAAAAGCATAAATTAGAGAAGACAAAAGAAATTAAAGCAAAAATTTGAAATGTTCCTCTATAAAGATAATTTCTGCAAACAATAGAGAAGTCATATGCAGGCATAATGAAGAATGAAAGAGAAGACAAAAACATATGTGCACTAAGCCGATGGGAGGAGATATTACCTTATTTGTCAGTAAATTTGAATGATCAATCAAAACAAATTATCAAAAACATACCAAACAATTTATAAAAACTGACTCAAAAACAAGCTATGAACATTCATCTGCATTAATTTCTATTCCTTGCTGTGTAACCAGTTACGCCAAATCATACTGACTTAGAGACATTTGCCCTCTCAGTTTTGTGGCTCTGGTATCTAGGCATAGCTTAAGCAGATGCTTCAGGTTCAGGATCTCTCGTGAAGTGCTGTCAAGCTGCCAGCTGGGGCTGCTGGAGCCCCAACTGCCCCACCTGGGGAAGGACCAGTTCTAAGCTTATTGACATGGTTACTGGCCAACCTGGGATCTATCCAAAGGCCTGATCCACAACAAAGGAGTGACTTCACTCAAGGCAATGAAATCAAGATGCAGCAAGATAGACAGTGCACACTAGATGGATGGCATGGCCATTTGTAACCTAATTTCTAAAGTGATATTCCTTTACCTCTGCCACATTCTATCACTAAATCCAGGCAACGATTACACAAAAGCTCGACTCTGGGAAGTGAGAACCTTTGGAGACATTATAAAGCAGAGGCAGAATAATGAACTATTAAATAATTATCCTGGGGCAATTGGATACTTATATTTTTTAAAAAACAAAGGGGAATTGAATTCTTACCTCAATCATAAATAAGACCTATTCCAGGTGGCTTAAGAATTGAAAAACAAAAAATAAAACCATAAAAATTTAAACACATAATTAAGGGTGATACAATGCTTTAAATAAAAGAAAATAATCTCTAATCTAAAAAGAAAGGTTTGATAAATCAACATTAAAAGGAAGATTTGCTTTTATCAAGAAAATACTTTAAAGTTAATAGAGGAGTTGCAAGCTAAGAGAGGATACTTGCAGTACATACCATCAACAAAAGAATAATATCCAGAATGTACACATAACTATCATGAATCAATTTCATTCAGAAGACAAAATATAAAAAAGGAAATGAGCTAAATAGTAACATAATTTCTCAAAGGAAGAAAACTAAGTGTCATTAAATAATAGAATATGTCTAACTTTATTAGTATTTAGGGATTGAAATTTTAAAATACAATGGATGTAACCATTTAAGACTACCATATTGGTAAGATATACAGTGAATTCTCATTCACTGAGGCTGTGAATGCATTTGTTCTATTGTCTCATTTTGGGGAAGCATTTTAGCTTTTCACTCCTAAATGTATCTCCTAGGGAAACTATTGTACCTGTGCACCAGAGAAATATCTCACTATCTGACAATGTTAGAATGAATGAAAAAATACACAAGACATTGAATTATTAGTACCTAAAGTAAGATATAAAATTATAGTTATGCCCATCAAAATTAATAAACACAAAAACAAGCTTAAAGGAAACAAACAGAATTGTGTCTGAATCTACTTTTTTTCATCTGTATTAAGATATATTCATTGTACAGGGGAGATGCATTGTGACAATTCTGAATAGCCTTACATTGCACATTGATTAGGTGGTCCCACCAGCTCCCTTCCCAACCCTTTCCCCACCCCACTTAAAGCAATTGCAAGAGCTTTCATCATTCTATTTCATATATGAATATGAAGCCCATCAACCACATACTCTCACCTTCTTCTCCGTCATTCACCCTCCCCTCTCCCACAAGTACGTCCACACATTGTACCTATT